GAGAAATGCTCACTAGCAAGGATGTAAACAAATTTGTGCCCAAAATTTGAGAGAAAAACGCTTTTTATGAATATTTCTGGGATCATTTATTTCAGCTCATGAAACATGGGACCAACACTTTACATGTTGTGTTTATATTTTCGTTCAGTGTATATAATCTATTATTTGTTAACTTTGCCATGTAATGAGCTGCAGCAGTACAGAGCCATCACTAGACCGGCACCTTCCTCACTCGCTAGATCAGCAATGTGCCAGATGTGCAATTGAAGGGGAATTGAACTAAAAATGTGGTTTCTTCCAGACCAAAATGTTTTACTTCTGATGTGATTTAACCATTGACATGGACTCAGAGCATCCATTGCGTATTTTCTCTATAAACAATTACTGAGAACATCATTTGGGAAAATATATACTGCATTTTTTGGGGGGAAAATCTGATTTTATAGGGCCCCCTTAGTTGTTTATTTTTATATTTTTGTTCAGTGTATTTTGTCAAATTGTGTTTATTTATTTACTTCTTCTTTCTGATCAAGTTGTTTGTGTTTGAAGACGAGGCGCTAATGCCTCTCGTTCATCTAATTGAATTAAGTGCTGACATTTCCCATTACTTCCTTTACAATGATAAAAGCAGCTTTAGGCTTTTATGTGGGGCTTAATGGCAGCCTACTATAAACTACACCAAGCTGATTGCCTCACCCTCGCTGCGTTAGGCCACAACACACACACACGCGAGCGCGCACACACACTCAAAAAAACACACCCATACACACAATAACACTTTAAGACTTTTTTTTAGTAATTACCGGAGTTTAAGCAGCAAGTTATTTACATTTAAATCCCTTTTACTCAGTCCCCAGCCCTGCTGAATTACCATCCCCTCGCCTTGAGAGGCTGGTTTAGGATGAGTCTGACCGCAGAGCGAAGGAAAAGCAGCCAAGTGCTCAGCATATGTAGGAACTCCTTCAAGAACTCCTTCAAGACTGTTGGAAAATAATTCCATTCTAATGCCATGACATCATTTTCTGGAATTTTGCAAGCTGTTTAAAGGCACAGTCAACTTAGTGTATGTAAACTTCTGACCCACTGGAATTGTGATACAGTGAATTAGTCAAATAATCTGTCTGTAAACAATTGTTGGAAAAATTACTTGTGTCATGCACAAAGTAGATGTCCTAACCGACTTGCCAAAACTATAGTTTGTTAACAAGAAATTTGTGGAGTGGTTGAAAAACGAGTTTTAATGACCCCAACCTAAGTTTTACATTTTTACATTTACGTCATTTAGCAGACGCTCTTATCCACAGCGACTTACAAATTGGTGCATTCACCTTATAGCCAGTGGAATAACCACTTTACAATGTTTTTTATTTTTATTTTATTTAGATAATTTTTATTGTTTCCTATTATCATTATTTTTTTTTTGGGGGGGGGGGGGGGGGGTAAGGGGGGGGTAGAAGGATTACTTTATCCTATCCCAGGTATTCCTTAAAGAGGTGGGGTTGCAAGTGTCTCCGGAAGGTGGTGAGTGACTCCGCTGTCCTGGCGTCGTGAGGGAGCTTGTCCACCATTGCGGTGCCAGAGCAGCGAACAGTTTTGACTGGGCTGAGCGGGAACTGTGCTTCCGCAGAGGTAGGGGGGCCAGCAGGCCAGAGGTGGATGAATGCAATGCCCTCGTTTGGGTGTAGGGACTGATCAGAGCCTGAAGGTATGGAGGTGCCGTTCCCCTCACAGCTCCGTAGGCAAGCACCATGGTCTTGTAGCAGATGCGACCTTCAACTGGAAGCCAGTGGAGTGTGCGGAGGAGCGGGGTGACGTGAGAGAACTTGGGAAGGTTGAACACCAGACAGGCTGCAGCATTCTGGATGAGTTGTAGGGGTTTAATGGCACAGGCAGGGAGCCCAGCCAACAGCGAGTTGCAGTAATCCAGACGGGAGATGACAAGTGCCTGGATTAGGACCTGTGCCGCTTCCTGTGTAAGGCAGGGTCGTACTCTCCGAATGTTGTAGAGCATGAACCTACAGGATTGGGTCACCGCCTTGATGTTAGCGGAGAACGACAGGGTGTTGTCCAGGGTCACGCCAAGGCTCTTCGCACTCTGGGAGGAGGACACAATGGAGTTGTCAACCGTGATGGCGAGATCATGGAACGGGCAGTCCTTCCCCGGGAGGAAGAGCAGCTCCGTCTTGCCAAGGTTCAGCTTGAGGTGGTGATCCGTTATCCACACTGATATTTCTGCCAGACATGCAGAGATGCGATTCGCCACCTAAGTGTAAACTTCCGACTTCAACTGTATATATTTATACTCAGGACTACGACATTGCTTGTCCTAATATTTCTATATTTCTTAATTCCATTCCATTACTTTTAGATTTGTGTGTATTGTTGTGTATTGTTAGATATTACTGCACTGTTGGAGCTAGGAACACAAGCATTTCGCTACACCCGCAATAACATCTGCTAAATATGTGTATGCGACCAATAACATTTGATTTGATTTGATAAAAAAGCATCTAGACATTATCTTTTAGACTAGCATTTGGTTTGCAACAGCGGAGATTTCAATAAACCTTGTTGTCTGTGTCTAATTTTTTTACATTTAAGTCATTTAGCAGACGCTCTTATCCAGAGCGACTTACAGTTAGCGCATACATTATTTTTATAGAACCCACAACCCTGGCGTTGCAAACACCATGCTCTACCAACTGAGCTACATCCCCTGCCGGCCATTCCCTCCCCTACCCTGGACGACGCTGGGCCAATTGTGCGCCGCCCCATGGGTCTCCCGGTCGCGGCCGGCTATGACAGAGCCTGGATTCGAACCAGGATCTCTAGTGGCACAGCTAGCACTGCGATGCAGTGCCTTAGACCATTGCGCCACTCGGGAGTCTCAGACCTTTGCCAATGTTGTTTGAACGTGTCTGAACGAGACAGACAGCATGTTGAGCTGGTTGTAATAGCAACACAGAAAAACTTTCCATTGACTGGCTAAGTCGACACCTTGTTGCAAAAACAAAAATGGATGAGTGGAACATTTCTTTTGATATTTTCAGCGGCATGACTATGGATTAATGGGAGAGAGATAGAGAAAGTGATGGCAATACCCAGGCATGCAGATTTTGGCGGATACTGTATTGAATGGCCTAGAGAAAAGCCACAACGAAGAAAACACCGTTAAGAATACAAGCTGGGCAGAGAAGAAAAAAGCAGTCGTCTTCAAAACTGTCACTAAGGAGGAGTTTAACAACCTTCTCCGCCGTCTTCATGGAAATGTCCGAAATCGGAAGGGGAGCAGTACAGGTAGCTACCTGGCACCAGAGTGGGCTCAACCAGGTTCTAAATGACCCACCCATCGGTTCGCAGCTGGTGCCTTGTGAAGAACAACGAATTTGCCACCTCGAATCATGTACAGTGCATTCGGAAAGTCCTCAGACCCCTTGACCTTTTCAACATTTTGTTACGTTACAGTGAAATTCTCAAATTGATTAAATAAATAAAAATCCTCATCAATCTACACACAATACCCCATAATGACAAAGCGAAAACTGGTCTTTAGAAAATTGTGCAAATTTATGAAACTTAAAAAACTAAAATACATTATTTACATCAGTATTCAGACCATTTGCTATGAGACACGAAATTGAGCTCAGGTGCATCCTTTTTTTACAACTTGATTGGAGTCCACCTGTGGTAAATTCAATTGATTGGACATGATTTGGAAAGGCACACACCTGTCTATATAAGCTCCCACAGTTGACAGTGCATGTCAGAGCAAAAACCAAGCCATGAGGTCGAAGGAATTGTCCGTAGAGCCCCGAGACAGGATTGTGTCAAGGCACAGATCTGTGGAATGGTACAAAAACATTTCTGCAGAATTGAAGGTCCCCAAGAACACAGTGGCCTCCATCATTGTTAAATGGAAGAAGTTTGGAACCACCAAGACTCTTCCTAGAGCTGGCCGCCCGGCCAAACTGAGCAATCGGGGGAGAAGGGTCTTGGTCAGGGAGGTGACCAAGAACCCGATGTTCATTCTGACAGAGCTCCAGAGTTCCTCTGTGGAGATGGGAGAACCTTACAGAAGGACAACTATCTCTGCAGCAGTCCACCAATCAGGCCTTTATGGTAGAGTGGACAGACAGAAGCCACTCCTCAGTAAAAGGCACATGACAGCCCGCTTGGAGTTGCCAAAAGGCACCTAAAGGACTCTCAGACCATGAGAAACAAGATTCTCTGGTCTGATGAAACCAATATTGAACTCTTTGGCCTGAATGCCAAGCGTCATGTCTGGAGGAAACCTGGCTCCAGCGGCAGGGACTGGGAGACAATTCAGGATAGAGGGAAAGATGAACAGAGAGATCCTTGATGAAAACCTGCTCAAGACCTAAGACTGGGGTGAAGGTTCACCTTCCAACAGGACAATGACCCTAAGCACACAGCCAAGACAATGCAGGAGAGGCTTTGGGACAAGTCTCAATGTCCTTGAGTGGTCCAGCCAGAGCCCGGACTTGAACCCGATCAAAAATCTCTGGAGAGACCTGAAAATAGCTGTGCAGCGACGCTCCCCATCCAACCTGACAGAGCTTGAGAGGATCTGCAGAGAAGAATGGGAGAAACTCCCCAAATACAGCTGTGTCAAGCTTGTAGCATCATACCCAAGGAGACTTGAGGCTGTAATCACTGCCAAAGGTGCTTCAACAAAGTACTGAGTAAAGGGTCTGAATACGTAGGTAAATGTGATATTTCAGTTTTTAATTTTGTATAAATGTGCAAACATTTCTACAAACCAGTTTTTGCTTTGTCATTATAGGGTATTGTGTGTAGATTGATGAGAGGAAAAAACAATTTAATCAATTTTAGAATAAATCTGTAGCGTAACTAAATGTGGAAAGAATCAAGGGGTCTGAATACTTTTCGAATGCACTGTATTTCTGGCCAACATCAAACAGCTAAGATAGCAAGGAATAGGTATCACAAACAGCCACCCTCCCATCACCGATAAGGACATGACCTATCTCAAAAACTCCCAGGCTCTGAATCCCGGTACACCAAAGGGGCTGGTCCAGAACATGTGGTTCGACCTCCAGTTACATCTGGGTTGAAGAGGAAAAGAGGGGAACAAACAACTAAGCCCAACTCATTCCTCATAAAAACAGATGAGGATGGTCCAAGGTATGTTGTTCATAGCCTGTTTGTGTTATATAAGTTGCACTCGCAATTAGGCTACAATGTTTTCTCTCTCTCCGATACGCCCCTCTCGCATATAACGAGGCTACGAATAATAATCTGGACCCAAGGGAGAGGGGCAGGGAGTCGAAGACGGTGGCATCACTGGAGAAATGTGTATCAAAATGGAGAACGGCCCTGCTGTTTATCTCCACCCAAGGAGAGGAGTGGAACGGGGACTCGATCTGGTACACGTCAAAGCCGATGGGAGTGAACTATTTGGCAGCACTGCTACCTGCAGGGCAGGCCGATGGGAGTGAACTATTTGGCAGCACTGCTACCTGCAGGGCAGGCCGATGGGAGTGAACTATTTGGCAGCACTGCTACCTGCAGGGCAGGCCTATGGGAGTGAACTATTTGGCAGCACTGCTACCTGCAGGGCAGCGGGAACAACTACATACAGTGGGGAAAAAAAGTATTTAGTCAGCCACCAATTGTGCAAGTTCTCCCACTTAAAAAGATGAGAGAGGCCTGTAATTTTCATCATAGGTACACGTCAACTATGACAGACAAAATGAGGAAAAAAAATCCAGAAAATCACATTGTAGGATTTTTTATGAATTTATTTGCAAATTATGGTGGAAAATAAGTATTTGGTCAATAACAAAAGTTTCTCAATACTTTGTTATATACCCTTTGTTGGCAATGACACAGGTCAAACGTTTTCTGTAAGTCTTCACAAGGTTTTCACACACTGTTGCTGGTATTTTGGCCCATTCCTCCATGCAGATCTCCTCTAGAGCAGTGATGTTTTGGGGCTGTCGCTGGGCAACACGGACTTTCAACTCCCTCCAAAGATTTTCTATGGGGTTGAGATCTGGAGACTGGCTAGGCCACTCCAGGACCTTGAAATGCTTCTTACGAAGCCACTCCTTCGTTGCCCGGGCGGTGTGTTTGGGATCATTGTCATGCTGAAAGACCCAGCCACGTTTCATCTTCAATGCCCTTGCTGATGGAAGGAGGTTTTCACTCAAAATCACATGATACATGGCCCCATTCATTCTTTCCTTTACACGGATCAGTCGTCCTGGTCCCTTTGCAGAAAAACAGCCCCAAAGCATGATGTTTCCACCCCCATGCTTCACAGTAGGTATGGTGTTCTTTGGATGCAACTCAGCATTCTTTGTCCTCCAAACACGACAAGTTCTATTTTGGTTTCATCTGACCATATGACATATGACATTCTCCCAATCCTCTTCTGGATCATCCAAATGCACTCTAGCAAACTTCAGACGGGCCTGGACATGTAATGGCTTAAGCAGGGGGACACGTCTGGCACTGCAGGATTTGAGTCCCTGGCGGCGTAGTGTGTTACTGATGGTAGGCTTTGTTACTTTGGTCCCAGCTCTCTGCAGGTCATTCACTAGGTCCCCCCGTGTGGTTCTGGGATTTTTGCTCACCGTTCTTGTGATCATTTTGACCCCACGGGGTGAGATCTTGCGTGGAGCCCCAGATCGAGGAAGATTATCAGTGGTCTTGTATGTCTTCCATTTCCTAATAATTGCTCCCACAGTTGATTTTTTCAAACCAAGCTGCTTACCTATTGCAGATTCAGTCTTCCCAGCCTGGTGCAGGTCTACAATTTTGTTTCTGGTGTCCTTTGACAGCTCTTTGGTCTTGGCCATAGTGGAGTTTGGAGTGTGACTGTTTGAGGTTGTGGACAGGTGTCTTTTATACTGATAACAAGTTCAAACAGGTGCCATTAATACAGGTAATGAGTGGAGGACAGAGGAGCCTCTTAAAGAAGAAGTTACAGGTCTGTGAGAGCCAGAAATCTTGCTTGTTTGTAGGTGACCAAATACTTATTTTCCACCATATTTGCAAATAAATTCATTAAAAAATCCTACAAATGTGATGTTTCTGGATTTTTTTTCCTCATTTGGCTGTCCATAGTTGACGTGTAACCTATGATGAAAATTACAGGCCTCTCTCATCTTTCAAGTGGGAGAACTTGCACAATTAGGTAGGCTGGACTAAATACTTTTTTTCCCCACTGTACTAAATCATAGACTCCGGATCCACTACATCCAAAACTGGCCAATTCTGAGTTTAGAAGCGAGGAGAGATGATGTCAGTGAGTGGTCATCGGTGGCGACGGTTCCTCCTAGGCTACTGCGTCCCTCACTGACAGAATAGAACACGCGGAGCAAAACTTCCATGCCGTTTCAGAGGAATGGGCCCCATCAACATTGTCAAAGACATCCAGCCACCCTATCATAGACTGTTCTCTCTGCTACCGCACGGCAAGCGGTACCGGAGTGCCAAGTCTAGGTCCAAAAGACTTCTCAACAGCTTCTACCCCCAAGCCATAAGACTCCTGAACAGCTAATCATGGCTACCCTGACTATTTGCACTGCCCCCCCACCCCATCCTTTTTACACTGCTGCTACTCTGTTAATTATTTATGCATAGTCACTTTAACTCTACCCACATGTACATATTACTTCAACTACCTCAACTAGCCGGTGCCCCCGCACATTGACTCTGCACCGGTACCCCCCTGTATATATAGCCTCCCTACTGTTATTTTATTTTACTTCTGCTCTTTTTTTTCTCAACACTTTTTTTGTTGTTGTTTTATTTTTACTTTTTTTGTTAAAAATAAATGCACTGTTGGTTAAGGGCTGTAAGTAAGCATTTCACTGTAATGTCTGCACCTGTTGTATTCGGCGCATGTGACCAATAACATTTGATTTGATTTGATTTGAAAACAAAGAGAACACCGCAGCACCATCAACACCCAAAAGGCTGAAGCAAGGCAGCAGTACTAGTGGCACAGACCCCAACAGATATTTCAACCAATGAATCATCCAGGGCGATGTACAGATAGACACATGTGACATGCAGTAGGTAGCTAGCTATCTTAGCTGCTGTTGATAACAAACATAATGTATGGTTTCAATGATTCAAATCAGTTCAAGTGAATGTTATGGCTTGTCTTTATTTTGTCTGAACAGTGTCCTGACAAGAGGGCACATTTTCTATGCCAGGCGAAATTGCACATTATTAGCTCATTGTTATGGATGTATCCAAATAAACATCACTAGAAAACAGCTACTGTTATTACTGTTATTCTGGCTGCACTGTTTGACGTCACTGTGTAGCCGTAGTAGGCTACCTGTAGCAAGCAAGGGATAAGAACGTTGCCAGCAAGCCAGCATGGCAACGGAACCTTTTCGAACGACTGGGTCGCGTCCATAGATATAGAACACAAATACTTTGTGACTGGGTCGCGTCTCTGGCAACCTAACCGATAGAATGAACCACCAACCAGCTTGGGTAGCAACCCTAGATTTGTGTAGGGGCTATATCTCGTGGAAGGATGAAATAGTATGAATAAATTCATCACAATAAAGTTTTTTTTATGAAAATATGACTATCATTATTTGAATATGTTGGTAATCCATTGTATAAATGTGATAATGCCCTCGAAACCGGTGTGTGTGTGTGTGTGTGTGTGTGTGTGTGTGTGTGTGTGTGTGTGTGTGTGTGCAACAAGCTCTCACAGTCTCACTGCATAATTAGAAGTTTGTGCATTTTTCTCCAAATTTCAAATTTTGTTCAAAGTGTTCAAAGTGTTTTTGACACCCTGGGTTGACTCCTCCTGCTCAGCATTGTTCCAAATGTCAAATTTCGAAGATAAGGTTGTGCTGTTTTGCATTACTCTGCTCAGCCTGTCCTAATCTATCACTGCTGCCACAGCACATACAACAGGGGGGAAGCACCGTGTGCGTGTGTATAGAGGGAAGCAAATGAGTAAGATGTGCTGTCTGAATGTTTATACAGAGATGTACTGTCTGAATGTGTATACAGAGATGTACTGTCTGAATGTGTATACAGAGATGTACTGTCTGAATGTGTATACAGAGATGTACTGTCTGAACGTGTATACAGAGATGTACTGTCTGAACGTGTATACAGAGATGTACTGTCTGAATGTGTATACAGAGATGTACTGTCTGAATGTGTATACAGAGATGTACTGTCTGAATGTTTATACAGAGATGTACTGTCTGAATGTGTATACAGAGATGTACTGTCTGAACGTGTATACAGAGATGTACTGTCTGAATGTGTATACAGAGACCTACTGTCTGAATGTGTATACAGAGATGTACTGTCTGAATGTGTATACAGAGATGTACTGTCTGAACGTGTATACAGAGATGTACTGTCTGAATGTGTATACAGAGACCTACTGTCTGAATGTGTATACAGAGATGTACTGTCTGAATGTGTATACAGAGATGTACTGTCTGAACGTGTATACAGAGATGTACTGTCTGAATGTGTATACAGAGACCTACTGTCTGAATGTGTCAGTGTTGTTGATGCATTTCAAATATGTGTGTGTATGTAAACCTTTGTGTGTGTGTGTGTGTTTATTGTCGCAGAGCATTTTACCTGTGTTACTACGGGGGGAGGGGGGCAGGGGGGGGGATATAGGAGGGTTTTATTTGTGAGAGTTCATGGCTGTGAGTTGCAGCAGAACCCCTCTAATCCCACTGCAATCACCTCATGGCTGATTAAAACCATGGAGCCACAAATGGAGGGAGCAGAGGAGAGGGAGGGAGGGGGAGAGATGGAGGGACAAAAGACAGCTTTTTCACAGTGTCCTTCACAGAGCACATCACATCACAATCCTAAAGATTGGAGCGAAGAAAAGCATAATAACAAATGAAAACACACGCACACACGCACACACCACACACACACACACACACACACACACACACACACACACACACACACACACACACACACACACACACACGCGCGCGGACACACGCACGCACACACACACACACACACACACACACACACACACACACACACACACACACACACACACACACACACACACGCACACACGCACACACGCACACACAGGACTGGTTTTACGTCGGAAAGTGCATTGCGTGAGGATTTTGTATTTTGCTACACACATCATCTAAAAGTTTGGTTGGATGCATTTATCAAACTATTCTACAACATCAGCCTAACTGGCAACTAAAAAAAAAATAAAAAATTAACCACCAAATCAGCGTCTGAGGCATTGGTATCCTACTGAGGCTGGGTCACATCAGCAGAAATGTCATTAATTAGGGGTGATATGAGAATGGGTGTAGTCACACAAACAAACAAACAAACTATCCATGAATCACTAGCAGTCACGCACCTAGCTACAGTCTCAGAGAGAGGGGGGGGAATAAGTTAGAGAAAGAAAGAGATGGAGGAGAGGGAGAAATAGATAGTGTGACATCAGAGAGAGAGACAGAGACAGAGAATGTGATTGTTATCTAACA